CTCAGCTGGTGATTCTGGACCAGCTCCCAGCTCAACCTATTGCAGAGTTGTTGTGGGGAGAATGAAGTAATAGGTAATAGGTACACTCCCCCAAACTGCTGGAGGAAAAACAGAATTACACCAGATTGCTATACAATCTGTATCCTCCTCTATAAATGCAGAACATCTGAGATATATAAACTGATAAATCTTGGTATATTACATCTCCAAAGGATAGGATGGTTGCTATTGCTCTAAGACAAGTGGTATATAAGTATTGTAATGCCTACTTTTTTGCTCAATTTCTGCTGGATAGGAATTTCAGAGTGTACATGAAAAGTCAGTGACAATACAATGTACTTAGATGTTTTACTGAGAACCAAATTTAAAAGTTAAGCCGTTAGTATCATCAGTATATGGATGACACCCAACTATACATCTCAACTCCAAGCTGCATAGATGACGTCAGTTGTGTACTAACCTAAACAACTGGATAGCGAACCGACTTCAGCTCAAGCCTGACATAACTGAGTAGCTGTGACTGATTGAGCCCCCTGGGATGGGGACATTTCCATCCTTGGTCTTGGAGGCTGACACCTGAGGAGTAGATGACAACTGCAGCCAGGAGGCCCTTTGCATAGGTTTATCTAGTCTGTCAATTTCAGGAATTGACAGACTAGGAAGTCACTGGTGATCTCAGAACTGGGCTACTGTACTGCATTTAGAGGGCTGCACTTGTGTTTCTGCACATCCAGAAACTACAGCTGTTTCAAAATACAGTGGTGAAAACTGTAATGGGCACATTTCATGCCTCGTAATCATACCGCTGTTGTTATACAAGCTGCATTGACTGCTAACTAGCTTCTGAATGCAATTCAAAGGTACTGGTCATCACCTATAAAGCTCTTTGCGACACAGGGTCTAGTAATCTTCGGGACTTCCTGTCTCCAATCATTTCTCCCTACCCAGTATCTTCAAACAGAGACACTGTGGTTCCCCCGAGTGGTGGATTGCCCCCGGTTCGCACCGGTTCTATAGAACCAGTAGTAAAACCGGCGGGAGACTCTGCCCACCGACCCCGAACACTTCTGCGCATGCCCTGTTGTGAACCAGTAGTAAAGGTAAGTAGAACCCATCCCTGGTTCCCCCTCAAAATCATCTTGTGAAAGAGAGAAAGTGTGCCTTCTCTGTCGCTGCTGCTCCTGCCTTCTGGTACACCATTGCCTCAGAGATTTATATAGCTTCCCCCAGTGGTGAAATCCAATTTTTTTTACTACCGGTCCTGTGGGCGTGGCTTGGTGGGCATGGTGTGGCTTGGTGGCGTGGCAGGGGAAGGATACTGCAAAATACCCATTCCCTCCCTACTCCTGGGGGAAGAATATTGCAAAATCTTCATTCCCACCCCACTCTGGGGCCAGCCAGAGGTGGTATTTGCTGGTTCTCCGAACTACTCAAAATTTCCACTACCGGTTCTCCAGAACCTGTCAGAACTTGCTGGATTTCACTCCTGGCTTCCCCTCTCTTGGGGTTCTAGAAGGCCTTAAGACCTGATAGTATTCTAGAACAGCTTTGCTGGCTGAGGAATTCCGGGAGTTGAAGTCCACAAGTCTTAAAGTTGCCAAGGTTGGAGATCCGTGGTCTAGATGCCTGGGGTGCATTAGTGTGCCTGGTTATTATAGCTGGCTTTTGTCCAGGTTGATATATTTTGTTTCAATGTTTTAATTTGATATTTTTGTATATTGCTTGTTGCACAATGCCTTTTGGACTGGACAGCCATAACAAAAGTAATAATAAACTCCTCTGAATTTCAGGGTCTAATAATACTTACCCTATTTCCCTCAAAATAAGACATCCCCTGATAATAAGCCCAATCGGGCTTTTGAGCACTTATTTCAGGGTTCAAAAAAAATAAAAGACAGGATCTTATTTTTGGGGAAACACAGTAGATGCAAGATAAATTAAATTCACATATGCAACCCAATGATGCTATAATAACGATTTTAAGCCAAAATCTTTTGATGCATGCACCTTTGAGCCATAATATGGTTTTCATTTATTTAAGTTATTTAAAGAATTTATACGGCCTCCAGACTCAAAATGCTGTGACTCCTGTTGGTGCACAATAAAAGAAAGAAAAAAAAACACAATCCCGTTAAAATCCACAGGAAAAAGCCATATTTTTAAATGTCTTTCTGAAGACCAATAGGATCAGAAATAACCAGTTCCTTAAATTGCACTCAAGTTATCAAACCATAGGTAGTTGGTGTGGCTTAGAAAATTAATGATGTTATTATATGTGTATATGAGGTGCATCCATAACTATAAGCATCACTGCATTCTGGACTGTTGGAGTTTTTCAACAGCCTTAGAGGGCAGCACTAGATAGAGCACATTGCAGTACTCCATTCAGAAGCAGTAGGCAGGACCTCCCAATCCAGAAAGGAAAGCAACTGAAGCACAAGTTGGACAAAAGTACTTCTGGCCACTTCTTCGATCAGGAGCTGCTCGAGTCTAGGAGGCTGACAAAATTGCACATTAGTTTTGAGTAGGGGAGTACATCCCTGAGTAGAACCAAGAATGGACAATCTGGTCTCGATAAGTAGCAATAGCACTTAGACTTACATACTGCTTCATACTGCTTTACAGTTCCCTCTAAGCGGTTTACAGATTCAGCCTATTGCCCCCAACAATCTGGATCCTCATTTTGCCAACCTTGGAAGGATGGAAGGCTGAGTCAACCTTGAGCCAGTCAGGATTGAACTCCTGGCAGTGAGCCTAGTTAACCTGCAATACTGCATTCTAACCACTGTGCAACCACAGCTGCTAAAGTTTCACCAAAAATTCTTCTTCCCTCAACCAAAGTCCTATAGTATCCAGATGGCCAGGCCAGGACTTTGACAGCCACACTTGTTCAGCCAAGGACAAAGATCTACAACTGAAGTAATCAATGTACTGATAATACTGGACACCACATGGTGGAATGACCTTCCCCAGTAGTTTCCTGTAGATATTTAAAATACCGGTAAGTAGAGAGAAGGTACAGCCCTGATAGCAATAGCAGTTAAGGTTTATATATCACTTCACAGTGCTTTACAGCCCACTCTAAGCAGTTTACAGTGTCAACATATTGCCCCCAAGCTGATACCCCTGCAAAGCAGAATTCTAAGGCGGGACAACTCCCCCCAGCAGCAAGTGGAATTGGGGGGAAACCATCACAACATGGTGTGTTCCAAATCATTGAGCTGATCCAGATAGATACCATGGTTGATTGTACACAGACAAGATGGTTCAGTGGTTAGAATGCAGTACTGCAGGCTAACTCACTGCTCACTCCAGGAGTTCAATTCTGAGTGGCTCAAGGTTGACTCAGCCTTCCATCCTTCTGAAGTCGGTAAAATGAGGACCCAATAGACTGTTGGGGGCAATAGACTCTGGGGACTCTGTAAACCACTTAGAGCTGGAAAACACTGTGAAGTGGTATATAAATCTAAGTGCTATTGAAAATCAGCAAGGCCCAGGACAGATGTGTTAAGGTCATTGACTTCAATAACTAGCACAATATATAAGACCTAGGAATAAGCAATCAGGTATCTGCAAAAGATTTAGACTTCAGTCTCCAAAAGTTCCAGGCAGCACAAAGCAAAACATCAGACTGTAGAAATTGTAGCCAAACACAATTTGACTAGAAGGCAAACTGACTCATCTGCTTTCTTCACTTTCCTTCCTAATCAAATATCCTTTCAGCAAAACTGTCATGTGCCTTGCTTGGCAACATCTGTGAAAAAACTGTATCAGGCTGGAAATTAATCATCTCCTCATCATCACAACTGTTGTCCAATCGATTTCCAGTAGAAGCAACTCTTCAGGAAAACATGTTGCAATGTCTACATTTTAGAGATTCCTCAGAATGTATTAGAGGACTTTTCATCCAAAGAAATTCAAGGGGTTGAGGAAGACACTCTCAGCATGATACGTTAGAACAAAAATGAAGCCCTTCAAGCAAAGTTTCTGCATGACCATGATTTGTTGCCAACTGCCCTATTCAATAGCTTTCACTAGGAAATTAGTTCCGTACATCAAATGACTGGTATAACCCGAGGTTGGCACTAGCTATGCATCCCGTTGCTTTAAGAATCCCAGATTTACATACATTCATTACGTACATCTATACATTTCAAAACTATTCACAATCTGGTTTCCCCATACCTGGCACACTCAAGAAGTTGTGGTCTCCTATTTGGAGGGTATCATATTAGGAGACTAGATTATGAAAAATCTTGCTGAAACCAGCTTTCCAATAAACCCCCCTGCTGGCTGTATCTCAGCTGTACAGAGCAGGCTAAGCTGGTTATCCTCTATATCTCTATTTGCTGTTACAGCCCCTTGCTGGGACTGAAAAGATGACTCAACATTTACATGAGTGAAAGAATGCAGCAAGTACTTAAGATTTTGCACAGCCATTGTAAGGGGCTGCCTTACTAATGAGACTAACACGGCCTTCAAGCTTCCTCATAAGTAGCTAATAAAACTGTACCATAACATTTCACATCCACATTGTACTCCTTGATCCTACATTGCTCCTAATGTCAGTAGCCTGCTGAAGACATTTTTAACCAGAGTTAAACATTACATCTTCACTCACACAGTCTTCTGCTTACAAAGCAATTTCCAGGTCTTCCTGGACATGCAGTCCAAGAGGAAAAAAATTCCATCGTTTGTATCAGAGGTTACAAGAGCATTGCTGAAAATTATTTTCCTTGACCCGTAGTTGCCAACTCTACAAATCAAACAGGCTGAGTGAATAGCAAGCATTTCAGCTAACCAAGGTTATACACAGAACATCATGAAACCTTCTTTAGATTTTATTTCAGCAACAGAAGCCACAACACAGCTTGACTCATATGTCCTGCACTCCTTATCACACCTGTGAGGGTAGTCAGCTGTCTCTCATTTTGCTTCATACAGCCCAAAAGAAAAAAAAATGTATGACACATCAGCTCCCTTTTCTAGCTTCAACTAACCTTTTGCAGGATCTCTACATACAGCTGGAGACAATTTTCCTTCCAAGATATCAGCAGCTTTCCCTGCAGCCAGCATCAATACACATTAGGGTGTGTGCTTTAGGCTTCCTAAATCCAAAACCAGTGAGGGGAGCAATTCTTTTTTCCGAGTAATGAAGCTAACTTGGTATGAACCCAGCAATAGAAAGCAGGCAGTCAGCCTGCGTTCAGACATGCTGGATTATAAATAAAGAACTAGCAGATAAATTGGCAAACCCACTTTCTTCCTAAGCAAGAATGTCTGCTGTCCACAATTAATCCTGCAATCCCCAGATAATCTTTGCTTCCACCTTTACGGGGACACAAGACATTTTATTGAAACCATAGATTATGTATTATTTCACGTAACATGGCCAGTGTTGTTTTTTTAGACAAATGCTTCCAGATGCTGACACCAAATACGCATTTTATCCCATAAGAAAGGTTTAGACTTCCCCATGTAACAAACAGGGACTGGGGGGGGGGGTAGGCAGGTTGAAGGGAGCAAGAATCCTAACAAGCTCTTCAGAGTAACAATAAAGTAACAATACTTTATCTTCAAAAGATGAGCCAGACACGCCTAAGTTAATTTCAACATAACTGGTTCACTCACAGACTAAAACACCATTCATCCATTGCTGCTGGGAAAATTATCATTCCATCTTGGACTGCTTGGGGAAGTTACTATTTGTTTTCACTTGGGCAAGGAAGGGGCTGCAGGAATAATGTTACACCTGGGAGGAAATTCTGCTCCAGGCAAAGCTATTATGTTTAGAACATTGTCCAGTGACTTAAAGTACCAGGGCTCAATTTAACATTTTTTTTTTTAGCATACGAACAAGTGGGTTTACATTAAGAGGAAAGGCCTACAACTCCTAACCATCTATTTTTTCCCCCTCCCATCCAGTTCTGAGGGATTTGCAATTCCGTCTTCCGAAATTTCATTGCAATCTTTACTCCACAACTCTTCCAAGTTTTCCTTTTTAGCAGCTGCAAGCATCTGCCTGTTATTTTTTTTTTTAAGGCTGTGCCCAATACTTATTTTCTTAAGTCAATGCTCCCCCCCCAACCCCTTTTGAAATCCTGGACTCTTAGGGTGGTATTTTCCACGCTGAAAAGGTAATCTTCTAAGCCAAGTTTCCTATACAAAACACCATATTTACAGCTCGCTCAGGTCTCTTATGTGCTTCCCATTCATTCTGTTGCCTCCCTTTTTCCTACCGTCACCCTCCAAGATTGGCAAAGGTTTCTGGATTCCTCGAACAAGCCTTACAGCAAAGCACTCTTCCTTCCCCCACACCCACCTTCCCCCAATTATTTGGGCAACAAATTAAAAAAAAAAAGCGTTTAGAAAATGTAAGAGGGGAAAAAAAAATCTGTCTCCATAGAGGTTTTATAGCCCGCATAATCCATGCGCGTCTGCTCGGCGGCTCAACAAGCCAGCTCGGATGGAGATCAGAAAAGATCCTCGTTATTTCGCAAGCAGCTCGAGCAAAAAAAAGCAGCAGGAGCCGCTTTCGCCCAAGCGACCGGCCCGGAGGAATAGATCCCCAAGGAGATTCCTTTTTTGGGGGGGCGGGGGGGCGAAGGAAGGGAAAGGGAAAAAAAAAAAAAAAAAAAAAGGAGCCGCGGAAGACGCTTCCCTCCCAAGCCGCGACCGCTTCGGCTTAGTCCCTCGAGTTGGCCACCGTCTCCTCTTTCCTTCCTTCCTTCCTTCCTTCCTTCACCCAATTTGGCGTTTCCAAACGCGCAGCCCACCGCGACCCCTTTTGCAGCGTCGCCCTTCCGAGGCTCCCCAAAGACGCGCCTCTCTCTCTCTCTCTCTCTTTTTTTTTTACTCCGTTGCCCACTTACCCGGCTTACCCCCGACCCGCTTGGCGCATGAGGCTTTTCCCCTCTCGGAGCCGGCGAAGGCGCAGCTCCGGCAAGTCGGCTTAAATAGACGCAGCCGTACTCCAGCCTTCTGTTTAGTTAGCCACTCACAGCGAGAGAGATGGTTTTAATCAGATGCTGGCAGCTGAGGGCTACCCAGGAATGCGCCGCGCTGTTTGCGCTGCCTGCCTCGGCTTCGGGCTACTCCCCCTTATCGTGTCTGTTGCGCCTGCCAAAACTTAACTCCTTCCGCGCCGAAAGGAGAGCCGAAACGGCAGCAGCAGCAGCAGGAGGAGCTGCGTTCGCACGACACGCGAGCTCTCCCCCCCTCCCCGGTTGTGTGAACGACGCCAGTGTTGCGAGTTCGCGCATCCCTTTGAATAGCCACTCCGGCGGGGTTAGCCTGGCACCCTAGCCTGCGTGCTGAACAACTAAATAAATAACTAAATACACTGCTCAAAAAAAATTAAAGGGAACACAAGCAGAAGACATCCGAGATCTGAATGAATGAAATAGCCTTATTAAATACTTTGTTCGTTACATACAGTAGTTTTGTGTTCCCTTTAGTTGTTTGAGCAGTGTATAAACTACTGTATGTAAAGAACAAAGTATTTAATAAGGCTATTTCATTCATTCAGATCTCGGATGTCTTCTGCTTGTGTTCCCTTTATTTTTTTGAGCAGTGTAGTTTAAGTTGGTTTATTTTGTCAAGCATATATAAGATAATAGGTAAAAGGATAAACATAATTTGAATACATGAAAAGAGTAAGTAAAAAAGGAATATTAGGACAGGGACGGTAGGCACGCTGGTGCACTTATGCACGCCCCTTATAGACCTCTCAACTAAATCAGGAGCCTGGATAGCTCAACAGACAGAGCTCTGTAATTTAACACCAGCTGTCTGCAATTAAAGTAAGATCGAATCTCGCCAGGCTCAAGATTGAGTCAGCCTTCCATCCTTTCTAAGGTAAGTAAATTGAGGACCCAGTTTGTGGGGGCAATAAGCTGACTTGGTATAAATATACAAAAGTATGAAGGCTATTGCTTAATGCATTGTAAGCCACCCTGAGTCTCCGGAGAAGGGCGGCATATAAATCAAATTAAAAAAAAAAAAAAAGTAACCCCATGGATGATTTCTTCTGCTTGCTAGATTTGTAAATCTAGCTAGATATCTTGATCTGTCAACTAGCCCCCTCCCCCAGGCTGGATTTGGCACAGTCGACTAAATGGCTCTCCTGGCATTCAAAAGAAGTGTAAAGTTAACACAGAATTAATGCTAACCAAGTTTAGTATGTTGTGTGAATGCAGTTCCTTGCTCTTTTAACTGATTTGGTGTTGCCAGCAAATCATAGAGGAACCCACCATATTCTAGCCAATATATCCTAAATTCATTGCTCAGTTTATTTGGGAACTGAGCAACTCATTTGAGTTGACAAAACACACACACATATATGCTGGGCAGAAAGAAGAAAGCAAGTGACAGAATTCATATAACTGGATGAGCTCAAATGTAGTTTGGGATATTCTGGCAGGAGATGCTTCAAAGGCTGCTCCCTAAGTGGCTCAGTGGCTAAGACGCTGAGCTTGCCGATCAGAGAGGTCGGGGGTTTGAATCCCTCTTATAGGTCTCCTTCGTGAGCGGGGTTGGACTAGATGATCTCCAAGATTAACAGTTGGAAAGGATCTTGCAGTCCAACCCACTGCCGAAACAGGAGATCCTACATCTGCCTCTACCTAGGATCAAACTCACAACCTCCTGATTGTGAGGCAAGAGATCCACCTCTTTCCAACTGTTACTGTTACTTCGAGAGGCTGAGGTGAATCCAACTGATTGAGTAAATCCTGATTAAGTAAATTGTGGGTTAGATGTCCTGGAAGCTAGAGGAATGTTTTATTTTTATATTTGAAAGGAATAAATGAAACAGATTTGGCCTTCTCATTTCCCAAATTCTATAGAATTTCTCTATCTTGGCAAGTTTAAGATGGGTGGACTTCAACTCCCAGAATTCCCCAGCCAGCATGGGAATTCTGGGAGTTGAAGTCCACTTATCATAAAGTTGCTAAAATTGAGAAACACTGCAGTAGGCCATGTATCACTTTATTGTTTTATACAATTCTTCAAAATGATTGAATAAAACAACTCATTGTTATACAGTATATACTCAAGCATGTAAAGGCAGAATATATCTTTTTTTTTTTAACTGAGTGATCAGTTTCCATATGAATCAAAGGGAATTGGAAAATTTCGCTCAATTGCTATCTATATACCAGAATATTTGTTGAAAAAATAATCTGAAAAACCCAACTTTGCATGATTATTTCTGCCTATTTGTCTTTTAATTACACTTCCTTTGTGAACAGTTTATTAACCTTTGAGCATAATTAAAATTGATATTTAATAGTAGCTTCCATTCAGTTTTTTGCACCCGAGCAATAATAAATGCTTGTGAGTGGAAACCTAAAAAAAAAAAAAAACCAGTTCCATGACATGACATCCATTTAAATTGTTTGTATTTTTTTGCAATTTTACTTATACTATGCAAAAATCTCATGGGTCAACAATAGCATAGATCAGTGTTTCTCAACCTTGGTCACTTGAAGATGTGTGAATTTCAACTCCCAGAATTCCTAGAGAGCATGAAGTCCACACATATGAAAATGACCAGATTGGGAAGCACTGTATCCACAATTAGAGGCTATGACAACAGCTGCAACTTTACACAGCTAAGGTTGATAATTGTTTAATTATCCACTGTTAATAGAGCTTGGAGTACTGGGAGTTACAGTCTAACACGTGGGTCTCCAAACTTGGCCACTTTAAGACTTGTGGACTTCAACTCCCAGAATTCCTCAGCCCACTATAGATGAAGTCCATAAGTCTTAAAGTGGCCAAGTTTGGAGACCCCTGGTCCAGTGGTGGGATTCAGCCAGTTCGCACCACTTCAGGAGAACCGGCTGTTAAATTATTTGAATCTCACCACTGCCCTGGTCTAAAACATCTGGAGATTCCATGTTGGAAAAGTCTGCCTTATGTAGTTATTTCAATGATTATAGTAAGGAAACACACATGAAACAAGATTACTACATAACTATTATTACAATTAAGAGTCTTATTCCTCACATTCCTGAGCAGTGAGTAGTTTCAAGGGCAGGATGACTTCCTTGAGATGAGAAAATGTGTTATGAACAAGCATATAGACAGTGGGGAAACAATGGTACCCTTTCAGGACAAAGATCCCAGGAGAACAATTCCAGCATTTTTCTAAGATTGCATCCTCAATTCTGGCTAATGCAATCAAGAATTCCTTGGTTTACTTTTCTCTGCATCTTCCTTTGAAATGGAAGAT